TCTTTTTTAATGTTTATTTTTGACAGAGAGAGACAGAGCATGAGTGGGGGAGGGGCAGACAGGGAGGCACAGAATCTGAAGCAGGTTCCAGGCTCTGAACTGTCAGCACAGAGCCCAATGCAGGGCTCGAACTCACGGACCACAAGATCATGACCTGAGCCGAAGTTGGACGCTCAGCCGACTAAGCCACCCAGCTTAGCTTTTAATTTCTTAAAACACCTTATCTGAGCAGTCTAACATGATAAGAATAGTAGATTTAGAATCAGAAAACATGAATTCGTGGCCCAACTCCACTGTCTGTTCCTTGATCTCCAGAAAAGTAACCTTTCTGGATTCTGTTTACTCTAGCTGTGTAATGGAGCTGATATCTGCTTTAACTGTCTTATGGGGTTATTTTCTAGTTCAGATGAGAAATTGTATGGGTAAGTAATTCTATAAGATAAAAAGGAAAATTAAACGTTATCTTCACCTCTTGAATGCAACATCTTGTTCACATTAAAACAGCCTAAAACAAAAAGAGAATGAATGGTGAAGATAACCAAACAAAATACATAATAAAATGGTCAGAGATGAGTTCAATTGCATGTAGACCAATCTATTGGAGTTTGTAAAATCTTGAACAATAGTGGGCAAGATTAATGTGATTGAGAATTTTTTTTTTGTAAGTATATGCTTTCTTTATTTCTATTCCAATATTATTCATAGATTTTTTTAAATTTTATTTAAATACAAGTTAGTTAACATATAGTGTAATAATGATTTCAGACATAGAATTTAGTGATTCGTCACTTATATATAGCACCCAGTACTCATCCCCACAAGTGCCCTCCTTCATGCCCGTCACCCATTTAGCCCATCCCCTCCCCCTTTACCCCTCCAGCCACCCTCAGTTTGTTCTCTTTATTTAAGAGTCTCTCATGGTTTGCCTCCCTCTCTGTTTTTATCTTACTTTATTTTTCCTTCCTTTCCTCTATGTTCGTCTGTTTTGTTTCTTAAATTCCACATATGAGTGGAATCATAGCATATTTAATTATGATTGAGAATTTAAAGAGCGTGACTAGGATGAACATATATGTGTTCTTTGTGAAGGTTGAAGAATTAGAGAACAAATACTAGGAAGCTGTACATTTTATAGTAGATCGTAAGATCCCATTATATCCAGTAGCCTTCACTGGGCATTTATGTATAAAATAATGATTGTATTCTGTAATTTATTAACTCATTTTTGGGTAAAGTGGGATTTTTTTTTTTAGTATTGTCTCCTTTAGATTTGACTGCTTTTTAGAACTTTTATTTGAGCAAATACAAATATTTGTTATATTTCCAAGTTGTTTGAGCAAGTTCTATTTCCAGCTGTATCACTGAAACCTGTCTTTACATTCCTCATCTTAAAGTGAGGGGTTAAGATTGGATGATCTACAATGTCTCTTCCATTTCTAAATGTTTTGAAGGCGTAAAATGCTATATGTGAAAACACTTTGTAAATTATATAGGATGGTAGTGGTGTCGATATTTTAAATATATTAAACCTCAGTTGTGATAAATCACCATCATGTACTAAGTCATCAGTTATAAATTTTGATAATGTACAGAAATATATTTTAGTCCCTAGAACATTTTTTGAGAATCCCAGATGCTTTTATTTTATTTTTTTTATTTTTTAATGTTTGCTTATTTTTGAGAGAGAGAGAGAGAGTACATGAGCAGGGGATGAGCAGAGAGAGAGGGAGACAATGTGAAACAGGCTCCAGGTTCTGTCAATACAGAGCCTGACGTGGGACTCGAATGCACGAACTGCAAGATAATGACCCGAGCTGAAGTTGGGTGCTCAACCAACTGAGCCACCCAGGCGCCCCACAGATGCTTTTATTTTTATTTTTTTTCTTGTCAATATTATTTTAGAGAGAAAGAGAGCGTGGGGTAGGGGCACAGAGAGAGGAGGAGAGAGAGAATCTCAAGCAGGCTCTGCCAGTGCAGGGCTCTGTCCCACAACTTTGGGATCATGACCTGAGCCAAAACCAAGAGCCTGATGCTCAATTGACTGAGCTTAGAATCTCAGATGTTTTTAATATTCTGCAAAAGGGAGGAAGATTTTTGAGCATAAAACAAGCAGTGTAAGATACATAGCTTTTCACTCTGGTAAACTAAGGAGAAGCTAGATATGCTAATTTCTAGACTACTTCGTCTCCCAGATTCATCACTAAATTTTAAACATGGAAGTGTATGTTTTCTCCTTATACCATTCATCTTTAAAATTCATTCTTTCACTTGACTTACCCACTTATGCTTTAGCTTTGCTGAATTTATAAAATAAATTTCTAATTATTTTTTTGCTTAAGGTTGAAGCAGTCTACCTATATTTTGATAAAGTCCATTAAAATTTGTTCAGGAAAAAAGTGTAGCTTTTTAAGTAAAAATCTTGTATCATTCCTGAATCTGTACAGGTTTTGAAATAGTAAAGTATAAATTAAAGTTTTCCTTTCAAAACTGTAACGGAGTTACAGTACATATAGTTCATTTTATATCTTCTTATACATAAAAATATTTTTTGTTTATTTACTTTAATGATGAAAATAAACTTCTTAATATGGGGTTTTGATCATTTAGAATTATAATATTTTGCTTTAGTTATGGGGATTAAAGTAGATCTTGTTTGCTTTTTAGTAACTAAATTTTGACAGGAAATTTAAGTCAAAGACTTTCAGGAATATTTTTCTGATGTTCTAATTTTTTTAATCTCTGTTTTAGGACTCATTGTCAGCCTAGAAAAGGAACTTGCTCCATTATTCGAAGAATTGAGACAAGTTGTGGAAGTTTCTTAATCTGGCAGTGGTTTTGATGTACACCTGATTTTCATTATAACAGACACAGTATCAATCCAGCAATCTTTAGACACAACAATACTTATATCCATATACTCAAGAAAGGGCCCCTTTCCCACCTTCTTCCACTAAAGAAAGAGCCTATAGATACAATTTATGGACAGATTGATTGTTATCTTTTCTTGTGTAGGGTCTTAATTTAGTGAGATCTGGGGATAGCACAGAAATGGTTCAATACATCACAGCTCCCATGGAGTTAGTCCAGTCACCAGATATGCATGAGATTCTATTCATTGGGTCAGAATCAAAATGGTACTTTGATCCACTGGAGCCATTAAGTGCTCCCTATTGTATAATATGCCCAGGCCTGCAGAATGAAGCAGACCCTTTTTATTGTGAATAATAATGAGGACATATTTTTCTTTATATTGTTTTATTTCTTTGCATTGAGTGTGAGGAAGATAAAATGGCTTAGTAAAAGTAATAAAATCCGTACAATCACTAACTTTTCTATGTATATATTATTTTGCAATATAGATGAATATTACTAACTGATTTGATTCTTCTCAGAGGGTGCTGCTCTTTAATGAAAATGAAAATGATAGCTAATGTTTTTTTTTTCTCCACTCTGCTTTCTATAACCAATCAGTGTTTTAATGTTTGTGTGTTCTTTATAAAATTTAAAAGTGATTCATTATTGAATTGTTTCCAGTATTGGTGTGTATGTAAACATGGTAGTGCAGCCACTTTTTTTCATACATGAGTATAAATAAAATAGTATTTTTTAAAGTATATAGTTTGAGCACTAAATAGGTTTCTTTAAGAATATAGTTCACCGAATGCACTCTTTCAACTACATGAATAAGTAGTGAGTGTTTCTTACAGACATCGGTTTGGAGACTGTTTTCCGCACCATATAATGTCAATTGGAAAGTACACTGTATTCATGAGCCTAATTTAATCTCTACAAAAGAAGTATCTTGGTTCTGGAATAAGCCATTTATATTCAGGAATGCAGTTCATCATTCAGAGTTGGTAGTTCCTTCCTAGGTAGGTTCTTTGACAATCAGAGTTCAGTTCACATGCATCGAGCACCAGTTACTGTGCACCGTTTCCCAGAGCTGCCACGCTGCGGCATTCTAAGGAATAAGATTCATATTTCTGTGCTCCAGGGGTGCCTTGCATGTGGAGTGTGTGAATACTCTCCCTCGGGTTGTGCAGTGAATGGTCAGCCAGACACTGGCTGCTTGCTCCTTCTTCCTGTCCCCCTCCTTCCCTCCTATTTCTTCCTCCCTCCCTCCCTCCGTTCCTCTTTCTGTACAAATATGAAACTAAATTTGTGGTACCTTCCTTTAAAGAACTTAAAAGCTCAGTAAATACAAACAGGTACGTACAGGAAGAGCTATCATGAAGCTATAGGGGAGGCTGTAGAAACCCAGAAGGGGGGAATTTAAATGGGACTTGAGCAACAGCGTTTATGTGGAAGTAAGCAGGAGGGTAAGTTTTACCTGCAGGAAGCTATAAATAGTTAAGAAAACCTAGTAAAACATTAGATGCACCCATTAAAATCTAGAATTCCCATCATCTGGACTATTGTTTAATAGTGTCCAGGAGATTGTTGCTAATGCAGTGATGCTTAAACAAGAAGACGGTCGATTATAAATGAGGTAGCCAGAACTTTTAATTTCAGGTAATAATAATTATATACCTAAAAATCCCAGGAAAGGAAACTATAATAATAAATGGACCTATTTCTAACCTTTGCATGATGACTGCTACTACTATTAAAATTTGTTTGAAGAAGATAGATAATTGTTCTAGAAAAGTGAAAATCACTAAGAAATGTTTGAAAAGGTAATGTGAAGCTAAACTGTTTTTAAAAGGTAGTATAGGGGCACCTGGTTGGCTCAGTCGGTTGAGCGTCCGACTTCAGCTCAGGTCACGATCTCGCGGTCCGTGAGTTCGAGCCCCGCATCAGGCTCTGGGCTGATGGCTCAGAGCCTGGAGCCTGCTTCCGATTCTGTGTCTCCCTCTCTCTCTGCCCGTCCCCCGTTCATGTTCTGTCTCTGTCTCAAAAATAAATAAATGTAAAAAAAAAAAAAAAAAAAA